TCGCAGATTGAATCTCAGGGCTCCAAGGCCACAGCAGAGTTCGTGTTCACACAGGTCGCATATCGTACGAGACAAAAAGAGCCGGCGCAGGCGGAGGCATATAAATATACTGCAACCGCTTTTATCTCGCATGGTTTTTTTCTTTATTTTGGCTCATATTTACCCGTAACTTTACCTGCCACCCCTACAGTATAAAGGGGACGTCAATCGGACTCCAGTTGAAAGTCCCTGCAGTCAGTTTCTGCGAGCGAAATTAGGCTTTTGTGCTTGAAGCGATTAGGCAGGGACACTATAGGTACTTCCTTGTCCCCATGGAGCTGGTCACGTGACAGAAAAATCCCTCTTGGCCGCAGCCGCGGCCGCAAGATGAGCAAACTGGCCCTGGGGCCCTATGTTACGCTTTTTGGACTCCCATGGCGACTACGGAGAAGGAAATGACGTCAACAAGGCAGCAAACGCAGACTGGATGTGAATTGGTGAGAAGGAATCAACATCCAATCTCCGTTTGCTGCGTTGTTGACGTCACTTCCTTCTATCCAGTCGCCGTGGGAGTCCAAAAAGCGCAACATAGGGCCCCGGGTTCCTCGGAAGCGGCAGCTTCTACTTTGACTGGGCTACCTCCTTGGAGCCTGATGCTTCGACCCCAGTGGACCCCAGTGAGCAACAGCGCCATCATGTTCCTGGGGCTCATTCATGCACCGATCGAACAGCGTGCCAGATCCCCATGGCTCGCTGCTGACCCGCTCAACCCACCTCCACGAAATCTGGACTTGTGCGAATCGGACTGCCACCCTCCCCAATACCAACAATTCATGTCGTCGTCATCATGCATGTATAAAATCATCACATTATCATGTTCACTAGACGCGGCACCGCGGGACTTACGGACTGCTTGCTGCCTTTCCGCGGTGCCGCGGCTCTCCAGAGCCAAATAAATTCGCAACTTTCAGTGATTGTGGTACCACGGTGTGAGAATCACGCTCCCTAGCTCCTGGATGATCGGTTTCCGAATGAAGGTGCCTGCCTAAACATTCCTGGCGTGAATAAATGAATTCGTAAGGCTGCTCGTATACGAAAAACTACAATTATTTACGCGTCGTAGACCCCGCCTCGTACTGCCGTTCTACGACGATCATCCAGAGGACAGCCATTTTGATAGGTGCCAGCGCTCCCCCTATAGGTCGTGAAAGTTGCAAATAAAGACTAAAAACTAAGGACTAAAGACAAAATGCTTTGCTGACCAACAGCCGGTAGCGCCTTAAAAGAAAGAACAATAGTGTTTCCTCGTTTAGAGGATACGAATGCCAAAACTGCACCGTATACTAGTGGCGCACATCACTGAAATAACATATGCGCAATACCGAAAATAACAGATTGTCTCTTGAACGCAAAACGACAAAATAAACATAATTGCGGGGATTTTTGTGTTTCTAAAAGCCAAATTCGAAATCCTAAACTAAACTAATGTTTGCTGAAACTCGGGGTATATCGTGGGCATCGTTTCGAAGAAGTATCAAACGAAAATATCACGCAACACATTTGGCGTTGTATCACACCTCGAGACACTGGCTTGCACTGGCGCATCAACCGCCGGCGTAGCATAGCGCGTAGCCGTGAAATGTCTGCGACTGATGTTGATAATAGCTCATCTGGCAAAAAAAAAAAAAAAAAAAAAAAAAGACTCGGCGCGGATCTTTTTTTTTGTCAGGGCTGCATTCGGTGCTTTTGGCGTTCTGTCTAATGCAATTGAGCGAAGTGGAGTGTATTCTCCCTAGAAAAGTATTCGGCCAGACGCAAACGGTGAAAAGGGTGGGAGGCCGGAGAGATGCACAGGAGAGGAGGTTCAGATAGCGGTAGCGCGCTTCGAATTCTCCGTTTATCTTGCTCTAGTGCCTACATGTCTGTCTTTCTGAGGGTGAAGACACCCATTGTTGCCCTGAATGTGTCAGCGCGTGACGCTCTCGCGCACTCGGTTCGTGACTTGGGCGGTATAAATTGGGTTGTGTGTGTGTTTATACAGCCTAGAACTTGGTCTGCCTCACAGGGGCGACGAGTCTCCCAGCTGTAGATGAGAAATTTAGCCAGTGCGGTACAGCCGCTAGCCTGGGGTCTTTAACGTGCACCACGCAGTAGTGATACACGACCGCACGCCGGTACGATGCTCATCCAGATCGAAACGGGCAGGGGTGGGGCTCGAACCCAGGATCCCTGGGTTCTGCAGCGCGAGCTTTCGCTCCACGTGCTCCGAGCTGGTGTGCGCTAGACCACTCGGCCACCGATCCCCCCTAACTTGGGCGGTATAATGAGACGTTTTTGAGTTCTTATTATTGTGAATGTCCCGTCGTTGGACATCTGGGACTACTTTAAACCGTTTATGATAAAACGTCTGTCTACCATTTTAATAATAAAAAGATATTCGAGAAACCGAAAAAAAAAATTGGGGTGGCTTAGCTCGGCTATGCCAGGGTATACGTAGCGTGAGCTTATGCGCACAAAATGAGAGGCGCTATCAAGCGGCTCCGGTGCAGCGTCAGACTTGGCTGCTGCGCAACGGAGGCGCACAGCTGGGCACGCGGCGGCGCCAGTGCGTCTGCCGTGGCTATATGACGTCACTCCTCTGGAATGCCCAGACTAGAGTTCCTCGATATGCTCGATACAGGAACTCTAGCCCAGACCGGCCTGGCGCGCGCGGAGGCGGCGGCTCAGGCGCGCCAGCTGTGCGCCGTATGACGTCACAGCTCCTCGCGCTTGCGCAGCACGGCTCTTTGGGAGCCACGCGAAACTGCTCAACCTCGGCCAATGTAGCTCACGCTACAAAAAAAAAAAAAAGGTTTTTAGGAACGTGTAACCGGTAACCAAAGCCGTGAATATTAATACCGTAATAAACCGAAACGAAACCGATATCAACAGGAAACGGTAACCGTAACCGTAACCGAAACGTTATATTTTTCGGTTTGAGTCCCTGCTCGCAGCTCTGCCCATATCCCTAACCAAAAAGACAAACACATATACAGAAGAAAAAAAAATAAGCGAAGCACGCACTTCTAAACTTCAACACGACCGAAAGAAACGGGGTCATGCAAGCAGTACTTCGCTCCACATGTCCTCGATTGTGAAATAAATATGAACGGTTGTTCACAGACGGCGCCACGAGATAGGTAATAATGAGCCAGAGTTGCGCGTCTTTTCCACGTGCCGCCGCGCTGCTATTCGCCGAGATTCGATCACGTGAGGAGCCGGATCAAGTGCCGTGCAGGGAAGTGGACGTTGCACACGCCCCGCCGTACGTACCCCTGCTTTTGAGCGCCGCTAATAGCCAAATTCCGTCACGTGAGGAGCAGGATCAACATGCTGTGCAGGAAAGACGGCGCTATGGGGATGAACGCGCAACTTTGGCTCCCGTAAACTCTAGGTAAACTCTAGGAGAAAGCAATTTTCAGGCTTTCACAGGAGTGCAAACATGATCCTCCTATTTCATCACTGAAATACATGGAACGAAGATCTTGCTGGAGATATGTCAAGAAAGAAATTAGCTTCCGCAACGTTGTGTCAGAATAGGTTTTAGTGCCTCTGTTTTCTTCAAACGTGATCATGGATGGCAGGTTGAAAAAGGAGGTAGGTTCAGTGAATTCAAGCTCCCAGAGAAAATCTCTAGCCCCAAAACTGGGAAATATCTCACCGCGCTGCAAATTGCGTTGTTATTATATTTTTAAAAGACCACTCTGAAGTCAATTCGTCCGGTGGTCGCTGAGAGGTCGGACCAAAATATTTCTAATAGAAATGCATAATGCCTAGAGAGCTGCGATATCTTCTTAATTCGATTGCTTCAAAGCGCTTCTGTACATTGTCATCGGTTCTCGGTGCAGCTGACAAGATCCCCAGGAGTCCTAATGAGTTATAGCAGCTTGAGGAAACGGGCAGATTCAAGCGAACACGCGGATGATGGCACCCGAACGCGCCATTTTTCACGCAGACTATCGCTGCTGGCTGGTCAAATAATAAAATAGCCGTTATTAATCGAACGAGGTCAGGCTGCCTTATTCGCAACTCTAGTGTGCCTGTATAGCAGAGTGTTTCCAACTGCTCGATCAGTGACAAACGCGCTGATTGTCTGCGAGCGTCTCCGTTTGGATGGATGGTAGCTTGCGCCACCTGGTCTAGGAACTAAAAACATTATACCTCCCTTCGCCTTTCTAAGCCAATTCGCTTTTCCTCTGCGGTTCTGTAACTATCAACAGGCAGGATATCGCCGGAATAACCTTTGAAAAATCGTGCGAAAAAAAAAAAAAATTCCTGCCTCTTTTTTTCCGGCGAAGGAGTCGCCGAATTTCCTCTGGTGAAATCTAGTCGGTGCTACGCCAACACCGGGCGCCCCGAAAAACCGATTTGAGAGACTGTGAACCGGAGCAACGCGGGAGGGGGTTCCAATTTTCCTCTGTCCCGCCTGTCCACAGCTGTGCTCTAGTCGTTGACAGGTTAAAGTGGAAGCTCCTCATAACTCTTTCCACTTTAGCAGAGCGAACGCTGGAGAGGAGGTCGCCTCTTCTCCAGCGTTCGCTCTGCCAAAGGGGAGAGAATCGGGAGGAGCTTCCACTTTATTCTTAAATTGTCACCGACTATAGTAAGTTTTACTTCACTCCGTTTTCCTTGGATAATTTCCACGAAAGGTGTAACCTCCTCTTTTTGACGGCAATCCTTTTTTCCTCCATTTTTCCATCCTCGCCATTAAAAACCAGCGCCCCCCCCCCCCCCCCCCCCCCCCCCAATCCTTTATCCCTTCCGCCTGCTTTCCCTATCGCCACGTGAAAACGCTGCGCATGCGCACTTCCGACCAATTGACGCGGGAGGCGTCCGCCGTTAAATTACAATCGCTGCCCATAATTCGAGATGGACCCCCTCTTTAATCAAGGCTCTCTATGCATTTCCAGAGGAGGCGCCACCATCCAGCGGAATTGACGCGAAGGAGCCGGAAACCAACAGCCCATTTCAGAAAGTGAAACATGCAGGCACGGACGTTGCAACTGGCGCTTGCTGCTCTGTGTTTCGCTATCGGTCTCTGCCGTACCAGGGACGCGAACGCGTCCTTTTCAGCGTGTGACGACCACTTTAGTAAGTACAAACTATCGCGCGCTTCGGGTATCCGGGGTCTTGGCGGACACGTGTAATAACCGCAAACATATTAGTTCCGTTCACTAATGTTCCTTGTTTTTTTATTCTTTTTTTAGTCTGGTCACATAATATTGTAACGTTTGTGCACTTTCTAAACAGCATCGCCCATATTCACGACCATTGTTTAAAGTCAGTGGAGTTTCGGGGCCGGGACCTCACACCTCCCCCTCCCCCTCGGCCCCCCCCCCCCCCCCCCCCCCCGAAATTCGACGGGGGTCTGAGACCCCTTTGGGGAGTAGATCCAACCGTCGCGCCTCTAGTGGGGAAGTTGAGAACTAAACCAGTGGGTACAACATACATTATTTGGGGGTGTTTCCGACGCAGCGGTAGGCTGTGAAGCTGTGTCAGCATTTGGATGCACGTGCATGTTATGGCGAATCCCACTGGTCGTTTTGGAGCGCGCCGGGATCAGTAGATCAGATCCGAGATGGAGCACGGGATCCGAACGGAGTCGCTCCGCCTCCGAATCTTTAGTGGAACATGACCACTCCTCCGGGATCCGCGGATGCCTTCCCGTCATGCACCTTCCCGGGAATCCCCTTCCTGCGGTCCCTAATGTCGAACAGGTTTCGCGATCGCGACTAACTATACTCGGCGACAACTTTTCTTGGCAATGCAGTGGAAGGTACGTCACTAGTCCCCTCTCCCATTTTGAGTGTACGCAGGCTCTCCTCCTCCCCCATTTCCGGGGACAGGAGGAGAGCCTGCGTACACTCAAAATGGGAGAGGGGACGCGGGACGTACCTTCCACTGCATTGCCAAGAAAAGTTGTCGCCGAGCATAGTAACAACACGTGTTCAACCCACGAGCGGAGGTAATCATGATGTGAAAGATGCGTGGCGATAAGCGACGTGCATCAGCGTAGCCCACTTGCCCCTTCATTGGAATACACGTGAACGGTGTCCAAGCACGTCACGATTTTCAGCCTCTTCTGCGGAAGTCCGAAAAGGCAGTCGAATTTATGCGTGACATACAGGCAATCCTCGTCGTCGTGCTACTCGAGCCGCTGCTGCTGCTCGAGCAACTTGACGACGAACTGTCAACAACCAGCAGCGCAGCAGTAAAGCGGGCGCCACTTCGCGAGCAGCCATTACGAATTTTTCCGAGGCGAGATGCGAGATTCCCGGCGAGAAAGCAAGTCACGTGTGCGCACCGAGGGCTGGCCAGGCTGGCTTCCGGTCGAATCCGGATCGAGATCTGGAGTGGGAGCTGATCCAAAACGATGAGTTCCGTCTCGATCCCGATCGCCCAGTGAAATAGGCGCGCTAGAGACGCTCTGCCACCGGTGGGATACTTCTCACACACTTGCGACTGCTTAGAACAGTGTGCCTTGAAACCTCTTAAAATCTCTTCCGACGAAACCAGAGCCATAGATAGGGGAAGAGCTTGGTCATCTATTGCCCTCGGTGACCTCTTGGCTCCTCACACAGAAGTGACGTCGCGCCTAGCAACTGCCTAGCAACGGCGGACGCCGTGCGAACGTGCAGGGCAACATGTTTTGTGTACCGACCTTAGTTTTAACGGAAAACGTTCTTTGGCTAGGTGTTCGGCATTTCGTGAAGCCCAGATACAAGTGAAGCCTGGATAAAAGCGTCGCCGCGAGGCTCGACACTGATTGGTTGCCGGGTGGGAAAGAAAGAGTGGTGCTCGACGCTTATTGGTTAACGGGAAAGGTCATGTGACCGGAGGGTTAGGCGAGGAGGAGTGAGAGGAGGGAGAGTAGCTCGAGAGTATAGAAGGCTCTTCATGATCGCCAGGTTTATCAGCTCGATTAGCGATAGTATATTGCTTCATTCTAGGAACAACTATCAAGCGTACACGTGGTACGCGTTAAACTGTCTGATGAAGGGCGCCGTGAACGTAGGCGTCTGCAAACTCAGTGTGTTGCTAAACGTTTGCGATGCTAGAATGTTTACCATAGGCAACGCGATTGACTAGCGATTTGCCATATATTCCTTAGTTTTTTTGGTTAGAAAACGGTCTGTTGTGTCGTTGAATGATCCAACCGAAACCGTTAGGTTGCGGATGGAAAAATAACGTCAAGATATAAAGTTGATGAAAGTCAGGTAACCGCCCTCGGCAGGCTCTAAACTTTGAGACGTAAGAAGGCTTGTTTTGGCGTGAAAGGTTTATTTATAAGATGGAGCTGGTCGTGACAGTTGCGAACATAAGCGTATGGGTTTTTAAATAGTGATAAGCAATTGTGATCTCGAGGGACACATGCTTTTTAACTAGCTGCTTGCTTATAAAGTTATATGATGCTGATATTGCCGTGGTCCAGACCATAGTGAGACTATTCTCAGCGAAAGACATCCTACATGATATACGCTGTGCAGCTTATTTTACCCGTCTTCCTTCCCAAATCAAAATGAATTGAAACTTCATTTGATTACTTCCAATCAATGTTATTTTATGTATAAAGAAGCTTCGTATTGTTCAGCTTGAACTTGTGTAGAAAGAGGAAGAATTAAAAGGAGAAAAGACACCAGCTGACTATCAAGTTGCTTTAGTGAAGTAACTTCGTCTTTTTTTCTTTTTTACGTATCATTTTCCTATTCAAAGTTTCTTCACTAAAGCAAGTTGACAGTGAGCTGATGTCTTCTCCTCTCATTTTAATTCTTCGTCTCTCTTCACAGGTTCAAGCTGACCAATACAAAGATTGCTCCAACTAGCTCAATTCAAGCCCTTAAAAAAGCTTGTTTTTTTGTTTCTTTCATTTTTATATAGTGATACGGGTAAGGCACGCGGGTACTCAACACTGCTAGAAACGGCCAATCAATCGCATATTAATCTGTGGAATCAAAACGAGGTAGCTTACTATTCGCGGGTAGTAGATGCCTAACGCTGGGCCGCTCGAAGTTTATTTCGAAACCTTCCGGCTTCTTCGAAGAGGATGTTAGACGACAGGATCGCTTTCTCACTGAGTAAATGGCGGGGTTGAGGATCGCACAAGGCATGCAGGGCTCGATCACCCCATGTTAGGAGTATCGCTTCGAGTAAGCAATCTTGACATGCTCACGTATGGGGAACAAGAAATGCTCTTAAAGAATAAAATTTCGTAAAACGAACATTTCGGCTTTAGCTAATTTTACAATATAATGGACAATTTCCTTAGAAAATACGGCTGCAGTCCAGGAGATCTAGTGTGTCGATGGCACCTGTCTGTGCTCGCTGACCCGAAAATCGGACCAAAGTTCGTCAACTGCGAATTAAAAAATGTCGTCGTGCCCCGCCCCCCCAAAAAGAAAAAAGAGAAACAATTTACGAAATTTGAAGATATCTAAATTTGCTCGCCGCCCCGGGCATACGCGATGCGTATGAGCGGACTCGCGTCGCCGCACGTACGAAGGGAGAATGGACAAGGTAACCGGGAGCTAACCTGTGCCTTACCGTATTTCCTGAACAAACATGAGACAGAATAAGTACCGCTAACGGCTGACTTAAAACAGAATAATACGGTCGTACATTGAAGCAAACCGAGAGCCAAGCACCCACGTCCAGCTCCTCGATGTCGGCTGGGCTCGAAGATGGCAAACTGGGGCGTGGTCATGGCGTTCGTGTGACGTGTTAGCCGGGAGTTTTAGAATAGCTCACACTAAAACTTTGCGTACGGATAGCGTCGTCGCCACTGCGCACGCGCCGAACGCTAACCACGTTTTGTGCTTTGTGTGCGCAGTTTTAGCGTACGCTGCTTTTTGAAAATTGCGTGCTTACGCAAAGAGTCTTTGCGCTCCTCCAAGGAGGATTGGTGATGAGGAGTTGGCTAAAGCCAAGACGAGCACAGTTAAACAATGGCGGCTCTCAGGACCCCCAGGACCCCATAGCTGCGGCTGCTTTGGCGGTGTCGTGAAGGCGACTTCGGGAGCATCCCGGCGACTGCGATTTTCAGTACAGGACGATATTGCACTCGGTTTGGAAAATCCAGTAAGGTGGGCAACGATCACCGGCAACTTGATGCTTGTGAAGCAGGAACATTTTTCGGCAAGGTACGGTGTGCGAAGATCAGTATTCGAGACCTTTCTTGCCGAAGCGACGCAAGCGGACACAACCAAACGACCGCTCACGTCTCATTCTCATGTTTAAATCACGACGGGCAAGGCGGCCGTTGTTTAAACAAATCTAAAATGCTAATCCGGACCAAAAAACTTGTTTTTTCATCAAGTTACAGCATTTCGTCTGTGAAATAAAAATTGTGACTATCTTGGTGGCGTTGCAAGCGCGCGATGCTTTGTCTTTTACATTGCGGCAGAGAAACGCTATTGTAAAACTCTTGCATAGCGTGCGCTAACGCAAGTGCTAAATTTATCGCTAGCGTGCGCTAAAATTGCGTACGAATTGTTCTAAAACGACCTAGTTATGTACAGGGTGTCACAAAAGAAAATTTACACGGTCTTTTTTACCGCAAAAAGAAACTAGGCATCGCCAAACGCTCATTCTCCGCCCAAAGGTAGCGGCAGAGGTCACAACCAGATGTCAAAGTTTCAGCCCGATCCGATAACTTAATAAAAAATTATGAGTGATTTTCTGAAAATTTCAATGGGAAAATGGCGGCCGACGGAGTTTTCATACACATGGGGCTCTATGGCACTAGAAACCGAAAACGAGCAAAAATGGGCTCCATTTTCCCATTCAAATTTTCAGAAAATCACTTATAACTTTTGATTAAGTTATCGGATCGGGCTGAAACTTTGGCATCTGGTTGTGACCTCTAGCTTTAGCTTTGGGCGGAGAATGAGCGTTCGGCGATGCCTAGTTTATTTTTACGGTAAAAAAGACCGTGTAAATTTTCTTTTGTGACACCCTGTAGTATATGATAGTAATTCACGAGCTGTTAAGAAGGCCACGCCCGTTGACCAAACTCTTTCCCTGCAGAGCCGTATATGGGGAGAGTTTGGTCAGTCTATGATCTCACGCCGTAACGCTCTCCTCCCACGTGAGCC